ATCCCTTGCTTTTCTTTCAAAGTGACACCGAAACTCCCGGTAGAGGAAAAGCCAACAAAGCCAGCTCCTGAAGAGAGTGGCGCTCCTCCTCCAGAGCCAACTGGATCGAAGGACAAGACACCCCCACCTCCAACCTCCAGCAGCAAGGAGCCAGAACCATCAACCCCAACTCCAGGCCCAGGTACCATGGTGGAATTAGTTGCAAGATCACATGTGGATAATATATTACATACAATCATATCAGTTTAACACATGTTCAGTCAAAGCAACCAGTTGTTCTGGTTGTGCCGGGACATTCCCGGTTGCAATAAGGCTATGCTAGTGTCCTGAAGCATTTTAATTTGGGCTTTTGTACTACTTTACAGTGTTCTGGTCCCAACCTTGGCTCATTTACTGGAAGAGGGTATGACTCACAGACTCTAGGCTGGGTTGGTAGCAGAATAGGAGGAACTTACAAAGCAGTAGGTCAGTCTGTGTCAGAGTTATTGATCGACCGTATCTTCGTAAAAGGTGGTGCTAACAAAAGGGGTATTGCAGCTCACCAGTCTTTCGGGTTGATACTCAACGAAAATTCGGCAGCTCTATGTACAGTCCTTTCATTATTAAGAGGCTCACTGTATCCTTGCTGTACGTAAATACATATTTCGCTGTACACTCCTACCAACGGCGCATTCATAGGTATGATGCATTTTATAGCTGTCAGAACATTATCTTAGAGAAATGGAGTTCATATATACATAGTAACCGTTTGAAGACTGATTAAGAATGTATCGTTGCAGAAGACTGTGCTACAGGCTGGTCTGAGTGGTACGATGATCAATATCCTGATGAAGAAAATGGTGGAGATGATGAATCATACGAGAAGGTCATAGCCTCAGGGAAAGTGGTCTGTCTGCCTGGCTCATCAGTGGAAAAAAATGACTGCAAAGCAGAGAGATTCCCTAATAACCCATAGCAGGAATTGGGCCAGACGATCACATGTGAAAAGAGCACAGGCCTGAAATGCTCTAATGACGATCAAGGCATGTTTATATGTTACAACTACAAGGTCAGATTCTGCTGCTCCAAATCAGGTGGCCCCCCTCCACCACCCATTACTCAGGCCCCAACCAAAGGGGCCCCTGAGAAACCACCAACATCAGCTGCTCCTGAAACAACGAAAAGGAAACCAAAGTCCCCACCAGTGCCTAAAGAGACCATCACTATCGGTGAAGGTAACTATGACAATGGGAACATCAACAACATCAATTATCTTCTAGTTAAAATAAATCATGTCAGTAACATTACCGTCCTTCACCTTGTAAACATTCCACCCATCAGAAGTATTGTACCTTTATTGAGATCAAAGACAGCTTTTACTCAACATTGAAAACCGATACTTTGGGAAATAGGCATAATGCTTGGGCAGTTTTTCTAATATTTGACTTATGAATATATTCGAAACACGCGAGATCAAAAACACTTTAAATTAGATTAAACACGTTTTGTGACTTCACATGATAGGTTATAATCCACGTTAAAATAATAGACGTTTGAAAAGTAAACAAATTCAAGTAAAATACATTGCCCGTGTATGCAAGCTACATAGATATACACGTATTTAATACACACACTACACCTGGCTAATTTCCCAATTGTTGATGTTAACAGTGCTCCAGATACTAATTTTCTGAAGTTATTATTCCCCCATTCCATGCGTCTCTATGAGTCAATGTTTAGAACGTTTTTAACAAAATCGAATGTTGTAAAAAGGCAGCCATTTGGTCAAATGATGCAGCATCCATTTCAATTTTTAAACCCAACATTTGGATGGGTCCACTTCAATGCAATCAATAGAAACTCATAACTGCTTACCTGTCCTCACAAACATTATTTTGGGAGATGTAATATTCAGTGATGATGATTATGCGTATTATTTTACGCGATACACACCATAATTCACGTATATTTTTTGCAGAAATGATTGTTCCTGCAACACAGCAACCAATTGAGGCTACAAAACCAAATGAAACACCCACCAAACAAGGTAAGGATTGGAGTGTGGTAAGATAGTCTTGAGGCCTGTTTTACTGCATACATATGGTTTAAATATTTTCCATAATCTGTTGGAATTTCATCACTGATTAATGTTCTATGTTTACAGAAGATTGTGCTTTAGGCTGGTCTGACTGGTACGATGATCAATATCCTGATGAAGAAAATGGCGGAGATGAGGAATCCTACCAAAAGATTATAGACTCGGAGAGAGAGGTCTGTCTGCCTGACTCATCAGTGGAAAAATTTGACTGCAAAGCAGAAAGATTCCCGAATACCCCATGGGAGGAATTGGGCCAGACGATCACTTGTGACCAGAGCACAGGCTTGAAATGCTCTAATAACGATCAGGACTATTTGCCATGTTACAACTACAAGGTCAGATTCTGCTGCTCCAGAGCAGGTGGACCCCCTGCACCAACTCCATCTAAAGCAAGCCCAGATACCATTCTGGAATTAGTTGCAAAATCACATGGATAATATATTAAATGCCATCATTCATAATTGAGTTTTTTTTTAGATCAGGTAAATGTGTATTTAAATGCACCACCACCTGGCACAGCCAATCAGTAAGGTGTACACTATTCCCCCAGAACCAACTGTATCGAAGGACAAGATACCCGCACCTCCAACCTCTGGCATCAAGGAGCCAGGACCCTCAAACCCAGAAGGGTCAGGTGTGTCCATGCTCTAAGAATATATACACAGGATGTATAATGCTCATAATCAAATCACGCAAAATGCGACTACATTTTTAGATCTCAGAGACGAAGTATGATTGTAACTGGATGGTATGAATGGGTGACCACGGCAGCTAACATGATTTATAAACTGAAAGTTTTAGGCTGCAGAGGTTTGAATGCTGAACTCATTTTTTTGTGATGCACGTCCATGCTCCCACGTCTTTTAAATGTACATTCTTTCAAGATCTATCCCTTTCTCTTCTTTAAAAGTAACACCGAAACCCCCGAGGAAAAGCCAACAAAGGCAGCATCAGAAGAAAGTGGACCTCCTCCTCCAGAACCAACTCCATCGAAGGAGAAGTCACCCCAACCTCCAACCTCTAGCAACAAGGAGCCAGAACCATCGCCCGCAGAAGGGCCAGGTGTGTTCATTTTGTCAGAGTATATATATACAGCATGTATACTGCTTAGGTTCAAATCACACAGAATGTGACTGAATTTGTTAGATGCTAGAAACTAAACATGGTGACGCATGGATGATTTTAGATGGGTGACTACCTGCATAATCGATGTCATGAGGCTGAATATTTACAATGTAGAATACAGAGGGCAGAATGCCAGAACCCTTTATTGTGCTGTACTTCCATGCTTCCCCGTCCATGATTCCCACACTCACACTAAAGAAAATGATGAAGCGCGGTCAAACAATCCCACAAACCCAAACAGCGTGGGGAGGCTTTAATTGAACAGTGGATTGGCAAAGCTGTACATTATTTTGAAACACTTCCCAGTAACTCATTTGAGATGCAGATTAAAAGTATCGTCTGAAGGTTGTTTACAACATTTTACAAGGAGTTATTGAGAATGCATGAGCAATCTTCATTCTGTCAACATCCATCCCTTGCTTTTCTTTCAAAGTTGGAAAAGCCAACAAAGACAGCTCCTGAAGAGAGTGGCCCTCCTCCTCAAGAACCAACTGGATCGAAGGACAAGACACCCCCACCTCCAACCTCCAGCAACAAGGAGCCTGAACCAGGGTCCTATATTAGGCAGAGTCCTATATTATCATCACGTTCATATTATTACGATTATGCTCGTTTACCCACTGCTTTGTAACCTGCCCGACAGACTTAACTCATTGACACTGCTGGGTAGTTGGGTGGGCCAGAGGGAGGGGGGGGGTGGTTGCCGTGGGTCGGATTTCACAAACTCGCTCCATTGTTTAAAATTAGATTTTCTGTATCGACACAAGCACTGCTTCCCCCCAATGTTCCGTTTGGAATTGATAAACGCTACCATACTGCCTCTACTTGACTACTGTGACATCGTGTATAAATCAGCCCCAAGTACTGTACTGAAGAAGCTTGACTCAATTTGTCACTCGGCCTTAAGATTTACATTGAACTGCCCATATAGGTCTCACCACTGTGATATCTACATTGGGTCAAACGTAACATCTCTTAATGTTCGACGGCTTGTGCACCAGATCTTAATTATTCACGATGTACTTACAAAAAAATCCGCAGACTACCTTCTGGATCTCCTCTCTGTTTCAAAGAACAAATTTGACCTCAGGTCTTCGCTCATTTACCAGCTTCAAATTCCTCCCTATTGCCGTAGAAAAACTGGAGGAAGGGACTTTGCTATTGATGCCCCCAGGGTCTGGAATGCTATTGCCAATAAACTGCAACTTGAATCGCTACCAATGAGATCTTCTCTCAAAACTGCTCTAGAGGAGTTGTACACCCCTAGCTGCCACTATTCATTGGCGTAAAATAAAATAAAATGTTTTCGCTCCCAATGACGCAGCAAAGTATTATCTGTATTTTGATTTAGCGTGCTGATCTTAAAGGTGCATTGAAAAATTTGATACTCCGACTGATGCTTCTGTTGTTGTGGAGTAACTCATGCAGCCAGCTATGGCTCTCGGATTTAGTGTTACATGTTATTTATGTAGTTTATTGTAAAAATCCGGTCACAGTCCCTATGATCACTGTTACGTTGCAATTATGGCTTTATTTTTCGTGATTTCGAAAAGTTTTTGGGTTTGGACATGTTTGTTTTTGTTGTAGTACGGAGTTAGACTGATGGCCTTAATCTAAGTTGTCTTGTGGTTGTTGTTGTTTGACTTGCATCCCACTGGGATTTTTTGCACACAGCGTTGGTGTACTGTGCTTTTCTCAGGAATATTTTTGCTATTTTTTTCATGGATTTTCTGTTTGCACAGTCACACATAGTCACTTTAAGATGTTTTTCTTGTTCGTGTTTTTGTTTTTTTGTTTGTTGTGGTTGCACCCGATTCAAGAGCCGAATGGCTCACAGGGCTATACCAAAATAAAGAAACTGAAACTGAGCCTCTACATTAGCACCGCTCTCTGGCCCTCCTCCTCTGACCTTCTCCCTCTCTCTGTAACCCACAGGCTGCGTGTGTGCAGAGGGGACTTTTATGGACCACGAGGGAGTTTGTGTTCCGGGCATCGAGTGCCCATGCTACACAGGTCACGACATTGTCCCGCCTGGGAAATTCTACTGGGTCGGCGATCTAGCCTGGTATGAATGGTCGCCCTCATGGGCCTTTTCCACTGCCGCATCCGAGCCAAGCCAGAGCAGAGCGACCCTTGGCGGTATAGGTGGGATTTTTTTCCCCCCACTGGCCGTTAGCAAGTGCCGAGCTATAGCTGAAACATCTGCCAAGCAGGGCCAGGGGCCTGGGCAAATGATGCCTTTGTGGCGGCGTGACATTCAATAAATAACACGTGCAAATGACGCAACATCGCCGCGCCATTTGCACGTGCCTTGGCTTGCTCTAAGGATTGTCATTACCAACAATTTAAATAATCGGGCCATGTCACTTTCCCAGGGAGGGGAGGGGGGGTGCGGAGGGGTGAATTAGTACACATGAGAGCTTTAACCACACCATATTGATGTGTCTCCTTGGCAGTGCTTGCGAGTACGGAGTTCTCAGGTGCGAAAACCCCATCACCATGCTCGGTGAGTCCTGCAGCGCCAATCCCCCCCCCCCACCACCAACACCACAAACGATACCATTGACCACACTGCCACCACGCGAGGTTCTCACCGATGTCTGGCGCTCTCTGTATCCCCGCGTGACCGCAGGCGGAAGAATGCGACGTAAAAGCCCCCTCCGTAAGTTTGCCTGCCCTCACAGACCGCATAAACCACCACCACCACCACCACGGCTCACAACTCACTCGCTCACTTGCTAACTTTCTCACCCACTCACTCAACCAACTCGTTCGCTCGCTTACTAATTCAAAGACAAAAAAGACCCCCCACATAGCTTTAATGTGCTGTTGTTGGGTAAATACTGTCAGCAAGGCCAGCACAGCTGAGTCGACCTAGGAGAGGCCCAGGACCGATTCAGATATTCACCAGCGTTATTGGTCGTGAGCGTGAATCAAACTCGGGTCGCCGGGTCCATAGCGCAGCACGCTAACCGCCACACTGCCGCTCTCCCCACACTCACCACCCAACTCAGCCACCCACCCACTCACCGCACTGCAGGTCACGTCCACTTCTCTGTCTGCTTCTTCCCTCGCACCGCTCAACAGTAGAATTACCTCCCTCCCGTCATTGTCTCTTTCCCGAAGCTTTGGACAACTTTCGGTCCATATCAACGAACAGAATTGAATCACGAACACCTTTGGCAATCGCACCTTTCTCACGGTGCCAGGAGGGTCTGTCCCATGGCCTCCTGCCGGCGGGTAGCGTTCAACACACCTCACATGATGGCCTTAACGTGCACATAGCCTGGCACAAGCGCCATGGTGATGTCACCGCCACTTAGTGGCAAATAGCGGCTGTTGTTTTTGTGATGCTAATCGAGTAATTTGCGGTCAATTTTTGTGTGTTCGAAATTGGCAAATGTGTTTTTGACGTGCCCAGCGTGCGCATTGGCCTGCTACTCTTTTCGCGAATGGCGGCACGGGATATTTTGTATTTGACGTCCTCCATGGTGAAATGTCATTGGGCAGAGGTCGAAAATGCCCTCCAACTCCTGGTTGATGGCAGCGCCCTGAGAGGCAGGAGCCACGCGAAGGCCTGCGAGAGGACCTGCCAGACCATCAACTTGCCCTGTGTGAGTACACTCGACCCCCCCTTAGACACAGCCCATGGGGTTGGCTTTCACCCACCACTCAGAGGGTTCTGTTCTATGCTCTCTTGTATGATCGCAGCAGCAGCAGCAATAGCAGCATCAGCGATATGGTTCAGCAGCTAAATAGCCAATGTCTGAGGGCTGCTGGCCACGACAAGAGGGCTTAAGAGGAGAAAGTTAGCGTCGCTTTGCTACTCTTCTTTAGAAAGAGCGCAGACCAAAGTGGCTTACTACCTGTTCCATGCCACTCGGGTAGCTTTGTCCTTTGCCCATGTCATGCATTGAGCATGGGGACATAAAGTATTAAACCGTGGGATATGAATTCAGACTTTAGCAAATGTCCTTTACTGGCTTTTAAGCTATTTGGTCTGTGCTTAGCAACAGTGATAATCGTATGCTTCAGGGCACAAGCGTTTTGACCTGTGTGATGGTGGTGGTTGAACACAGTATGAACGGGACGAAACGGTTAATGTCCAGTAGAGATAGAGTCCTCAACACGGGCGAGTGAAGTTCACGGGAACGAGTAACCACGGTAGTAGTAGCGATAGAAGAGCGACCAGCAGGCGACTGACTGCGGGTGAGCAATCAGGAGCTGACTGGAGTGAATCGGCGAGTGCTGGAGCATCGATCGCCCCCTGTGACAACTGATTCACTCCAAATTCTCTCTGCTGCAGCAGTGAGGCAGTCACTGGGCACTCCACTACAGCCACGACAGCAGCAGGGGAAAACGTCAGCCGAAAAGTGTGCTTCGTGCGACAGTGATAATTGCTCGGCGTTAAAGACGAAGGACTTTGACATGGAGAGGAAAAAGCGACCTTCTTCGATGCCCTCTCGGCCAGACTAGTAGCACAGGTATTGCGCGATGGATGGCTCGGAGCGAAAGGCGAATCCCCGGCTTCTCACTCTTCCTCTGTGTTGTTTGCCCAACTTCTCGGCCTCCGTCTTAGCCGCCGTGCGAATCGGACTGCCCATGCGGGGATGGACTCATCCCAGACGACAACGGCAACTGTATCCCGCCGGAGGATTGCCCGTGCCGGCACCACGGCATTGTCTATGGCAAGGGGGATACAATCAAGGTGGACTGCAACGTGTGGTGAGCGAGTGGGGGCTTGGCGTGGCTGTCCCGAGCCTGGTGGCTGCGCGTTAAGATGGCTACCGCTTTGTGTGTGGGGGGGGGGGGAAGACAACAGCATTTCTTCACCTGCATAGGTTTAGGATGCAGAAACTTGAATTACGGCGCGTCTTCCGACAAGACTCCGAGCACGTTTGGACATGGTCCAGTTTCCAGTGTCATTTTGGCGCAGCGAGCTTTTGTATAATTAATAAGTGCGTTGGTGAATTTTGTACCGGTTAAACCCCGTTGAATGTGGCTGATAAGGAGGAAAAAGACACACGGGCAAGCGACGCGTCTACTGTTTCTGCCATTTATGGGAGAATAAAAGGTATCCGATTTGCGAGGACGGGGTTTTCCAGGAGCGCATCCGTGACATTGTGAAAGCAGCCGGGACCCGCCTGTGACGTCATATCCGGGCGGCGCGGAAGCCCCCTACTTTTGGTTCTCCTTAGACTTGACCAAATACCCGTCGGGATATAATTTTTTTTGTTATTCCAAGAGAAAATATTGGGCTAGGGGGTTTGAAGGGCCCGCCGCCCCCTCCCTTTGAGACGTCGCGCGCGTGCGCGGGTGCAGCACGTGCGGCAGCGGCGCGTGGAGCTGCAACTCGGCCGAGTGCCCTGGCACGTGCCGCATGTACGGGGACAGCCACTACGTCACCTTCGACGGCAAGAGGTTCGTCTTCGACGGGAACTGCGACTCCAGCATCGTGCAGGTGGGCACCAGAATGGACGAGCCTTGCTCACGCACGCCACGGACTGACGTCGGGCGAGTGAGTTCATTAATTTATAATTAATCCGTAACAATAATTTGTGACTATCAGGCGCCTTTCGCGATAAAATCTCAAGGCGCCACGCACAAAGAAGAATAAGCATGAACCGGGGGGGGAGGGGGCAGAAGAAGAGCCAGAGGATCAAAGTACATGAGAGGAAACTGGTTTTGGTGATATGTGTTTTAGTCGGGACTTACAAACATCGACATTTCTACTTGTGTGTTGAACTTCTTTCGCACCGAACTTAACCAACCATGCTAATCGGAGGTGCACGGTAAGGACAACAAACTAAACACAACAAGCAGTTCAAAAGAAATGTAGTATAGTGGTGTAGTGTATAGTAGTGTATAGTGTAGCGTATAGTGGTGTAGTGTATAGTAGTGTTTAGTAGTGTATAGTAGTGTAGTGTATAGTGTAGTGTATTACATAGTGTAAAGTGTAGTATAGTGGTGTAGTGTATAGTAGTGTAGTGTATAGTGTAGTGTATAGTAGTGTTTAGTGTAGTGTATTGTAGTGTAGTGTATAGTAGTGTAGTGTTTAGCAGTGTAGTGTATAGCGTAGTGTATAGTAGTGTCGTGTATAGTGGTGTAGTGTATAGTAGTGTAGTGTATAGGAGTGTAGTATATAGTGTAGTGTATAGTAGTGTAGTATATAGTGTAGTGTAGTACATAGCGTAAAGTGTAGTATAGTGGTGTAGTGTATAGTAGTGTTTAGTGTAGTGTATAGTAGTGTAGTGTTTAGTAGTGTAGTGTATAGTAGTGTAGTGTATCGTGTAGTGTATAGTAGTGTAGTATATAGTGTAGTGTAGTACATAGTGTAAAGTGTAGTAAAGTAGTGTAGTGTATAGCAGTGTTAAGTGTAGTGTATAGTAGTGTAGTGTTTAGTAGTGTAGTGTATAGTAGTGGAGTGTATAGTGTAGTGAATACTAGTGTAGTATATAGTGTAGTATAGTATGTAGTGTAGTATATAGTGTAGTGTAGTACATAGTGTAAAGTGTAGTATGTAGTATAGTATATAGTGTAGTGTAGTACATAGTGTAAAATGTAGTATGTAGTGTAGTGTATAGTGTAAAGTGTAGTATAGTAGTGCAGTGTATAGCAGTGTAGTACAGTAGTGTATAGTGTAGTATATAGTGTAGTATGTAGTGTAGTATACTAGTGTAGTGTATAATAGTACAAGGCAGTGTGTAGTGGTAGTATAAAGTAGTGTATAGTGTAGTGGTGTATAGTAGTGTATAGTAGTGTAGTGTATAGTAGTGTATAGTGTAGTTTATAGTGTAGTGTGTAGTGTAGTGTATAGTGGTGTATAGTAATGTTTACTGTATAGTGTAGTATGTAGTGTATAGTGTAGTGTATAGCGGTGTATAGTAATGTATAGTGTAGTGTATAGTGTAGTGTATAGTGTAGTGTATAGTAGTGTATAGTATAGTGAATAGTATAGTGTCTAGTATAGTGTGTAGTGTAGTGTATAGTGGTGTATAGTGTAGTGTATAGTATAGTGTGTAGTGTAGCGTATAGTGGTGTATAGTAATGTTTACTGTATAGTGTATAGTACACTATACACTATACAGCAGGCAGCTCCACAACTGGGTGGGGGAGAATGATCGCACAAAATGGACGGATTTACCTATGGACGAACGGAGGGATGCACGACGGTTGGATGGATGGATCACCAAATTGCGCTCGCTTTGTGCCGACCAGGACTACTGCTCCACAGCCGAGGGCAACTTTCAGATCATCACCGGCAAGGACTGCAGCGCTGTGGACTCGAGCTGCTCCAAGGCGATCCGCTTCTACATCAAGGTGAAGTCAAGAGCCACTCCAGTGGCCGGCTGACCGCGCTGCGACGCGGGCTGGGTTAAGCGCGAGCTTTCCAAGCACTGCGAGTTGATGAGCTTGCGCGTCTCGGTGTACGCGCGAGTCGATTGGTTTCTTCGATAAGTCTACGCTGTTCTAGATTTGAAGCTTTCGTGACTGCAAGGATCCATACTCTTTGGTTCTATTCGGTAAAGTCACGTAGGTAAAAAATAAAACAAAAATCACGACGTTTCGGTCACAACACAAGCGGCCTTCATCACCTGATGAAGGCTGCTTGTGATGAAGGCCGCTTGTATTGTGGCAAAACGGCGTGATTTTTGTTGTTTTATTTTTTACCTACGTGACTTTACCGAATAGAACCAAAGAGTAAGTCTACGCTGGCTCTTTGTTCTTGGCATAGCAATTGAGTGTGCAAACGAGGGAGTGCAAAAGTTTGCGGTGTCCACGGCCCAGGAGAGGTCCAGGAAGTTTAGACGACAGGTTCCCTCACCCCCATTGCCAGTTTAGTTTATTCCCTGGCATCAGGGTCCATGCCGAATGTGCTTGGCCACTGGGGTCTTTCTGTCATCTCCCTCCCTCCTTCAAACTTTCCCTCCCCTCACCTCCCTCTGTACCCCCCCCCCCCTCACCTCCCTCTGTCTTCTCCCTCCCTCTCTCCCTTCCTCGTCCACTACAGGATTACAACGTGGAGGTTCACATGGTGGCCGGGGAGGTGATGGTGGTGCCCGTGGCCGGAAAGATCCCGGCGATGGTGGATGACCTGACCATCCACTCGGTGGGGCTCTACCGCATCGTGCAGACCGGCATCGGCATCATGGTCATGTGGGACCGGCGCACGAGCATCTTCGTCAAGGTCGACTCCAAGTACACGGTCAGGGCCAAAGCCAAGGTGGTGCAATGTGCAGGAGATAGAAATGGACGGTGGTTGCTATGCTGCTGCTGGACGTGGCTGCCTCCCCCGCGGTGCGATCAAGCTCCGTGGAGGCAGCAGCGAGGGTTCGGCGGATCACCGCACAGATGTTGCGAATATCCCTTCCCCCAGCGTGTGGCGTTGAGGAGGATCCACACCCTGGCTCGCCAGGAGTTGGCAGTGGAGCACGTGGATTAATAGCCATCTGTTTCGATCTGCATGGGGTAGTGGTGTTGTTGTTGTTGCCCTCTCGGGCACATGGGTTGTCTTTGTGTATATGTGTATAAGCACTTAATAATTAGCTGAAAAACATTAACACATCGAGGTCCGTAGGGCTTGGGCAGCTGTTGGCACCGGGATCATTTTCCTACTCCCTTTCCCACTCGTCTACTATTAATCGCGTGTCCGAGTTCTGTCTTTTCAACGGGGAGAGAGAAACCTGTGCGTGTAGAATAATAATAATTATTCCACTTATTATTGTTAGATGGAGGTGAGCGAGAGATTATAAGCCAGTCTCCAGACCTTAATCCCATAGAAAATCTGTGGAGGGAGCTGAAGGTTCGAGTTGCCAAACGTCAGCCTCGGAACCTTAATGACTTGGAGAAGATCTGCAAGGAGGATTGGGACATAATCCCTCCTGAGATGTGTGCAAACCTGGTGGCCAACTACAAGAAACGTCTGACCTCTGTGATTGCCAACAAGGGTTTTGCCACCAAGTACTAAGTCATGTTTTGCAGAGGGGTCAAATACTTATTTCCCTCATTAAAATTCAAATCAATTTATAACATTTTTGACATGCGTTTTTCTGGATTTTGGTGTTGTTATTCTGTCTCTCCCTGTTCAAATAAACCTACCATTAAAATTATAGACTGATCATTTCTTTGTCAGTGGGCAAACGTACAACATCAGCAGGGGATCATATACTTTTTTCCCTCACTGTATATTTAAAAAAAAACACACTTTTATCCTACTCAAATGATTATTCAGACTTCCCCAAAGAGTCTTAATCAGCATATAGATCCCAGACGGATGATGGAGGCCGAGTTGTCACCTCCCAACCAGAGATTTGCAATCTTTCGATTGCGAGCCACTCGCTCAACTGCCGAGCCAACTGCCCGGACAAAGACAGGTGTTAGGGACAAAGAGAATTGTGGAGCACTGCAAATGGTTGCTTATAACCATGCCGACGGAACGGCCTCTTAGAGGGGAGTTCTAGAAAGTCCTACACCGGCGAGATGTCCCGGAAGAGATCGGAGCTGCGTACTTTACTCCTCCACATGCGCATAAACTGCCGATCTTAGATCCATACCTGTCAACACCTTATTCGTGCCCTACCTTATTACAGACCAATTCAGACCTTATTGGTCATCCCGTGCCCCTTATAAATCTCTCAACGTTCATCCTACAAAGTCCCATCACACTACTATAGTATACTACTACACTATTATACTACTACACTACTACTACACTACTACACTACTATAGTATGCTGCTATACTACTACTACACTATTATACTAAACTACTATACTACTACACTACAATAGTAAACGCTGAAAACATACGGCAACACCTAAAAAAAGTTATGTCATACAAGAATGCCCAAAATTAAGTTATTTTAAATTATGATGTTTGGTGATTTTCCAGCGTTTATGAAAATCTGCCCCCTCCCTCCCCACCGGAAGCCACCGGATAATAATAATTATTAGATTAGGATCATTCGAGTTTAAGTTGATACAGTTTCTCTCTTGAATCCGAGGGGGTCACCCCCTTTGGGCTGCCCGGGAGCCGTAAACTCTCGGCTTCATTTCGCTCACGGCTCGGTGCCACCCCGCTCCCGACCGCCCCCTCCTCCCACCCCAGGGCACCCTGTGCGGCCTCTTTGGCAACTACAATGGGCGCGACAGCGACGACTTGACAGCGGCCGACGGCTCCACGGCCGCGTCCGTGCTGGCGTTCGGCAACAGTTGGAGGATAAAGGAGAGCTGCGCCACCATGACAGAGGCGGCGGAGCCTTGCCAGCAGAATCCGCACCGCCAAGCGTGGGCGCTGCGCCAGTGTCACGTCCTCGCCAGTGACGTCTTCAGCTCGTGCCACGACCACGTGAGTCGCCTACGGACGGCGTGGACGGGGCGGGTCGGGGGGGGGCGGCTGGCCGCTGGTGGTCTCTGTAACTCGGCACGCAGCCATGAGAGCCCCCTCGGACTACCCGTGGGTCGTCGATGGTTCACGATGAGAAGGCATGAGGAGCAAGTGGAGGGGTTAATGATATAAATAGACACCCAAATATATGACCACAGAGCTTAGGCAATTGTTGACACTGGTTCTGGCTGCCTTCCTGCTTGTCTGTGGTTTCCCCGTGGCCATGGTAGCGTGCACCATACAACTATGTTTTTTTTTTAGGCTAGATCGTGTGAATATAAATGTGTCGTTAAATCCGCCACCACCCGACACAGCCACAATTATATTTAATGACGCATTTATATTTACGCAATCTCACCCAAAAAAACAAAATGGATAATATCAGTTTGCGAAAGCCTATGCGTTAAACAAATTATACACCTTTGTGCAACGCTGTTTGCGGCTGAGTGATAACCAGTGACGATTATCTGAACTGGTTCTGGGCCTCCCCTAGGTCGACTCAGCCTCAATAAGTACCTGGTCCAGTGTGTAAAAATCGCCACTGGGGAAACAAAGGACAGCCCGGCGTGGTGTGGGCCACCCATGCCCTCATGTACTGTGCTGGCCTTCATAGGTGCCGCTAACAGGAGATATTTGTGTTTGTATTTGTCTTGACCGTGCATGCGAGGAGGTGTGTGATGTGTGTGTTGACCGTTCAAGTATTGGACTTTCTGATGACCAGTACCAGCAGTGTCAAGATCGGCCTTTCTGCAGGAGGGTCAGGAAGGATGCTGCTGGGGAGTTGGAGGCAGTCACCCTCCAGCAACAACGGGGGGCAGAAGAACGACGCTCACAACAATGAGCGGAGTGCCGGGCAGCTAAAATGCAGAAAGTTAGCACAGTGTGGAGCACAGTTGGTGCATCTGCCAGTCATTTCAGTCAGTCAACCCATGGCACCTGGGTCTGTTCCGTGACCTCCTGCCAGCAGGCCTTCGACACTTTACGCGGCCTCTAAGTGCATATCGCCTGGCACAAGCGGGCCTCCGTGGTGACGTCACCGCCACTTAGTGGTGAACGGCGGTTGTTGTTATGTGGACGTCCTCGACACCCGACGTGGCTGCGCCTCTCCCTTGTCTTTCTGTCGGCGACTGATCGCAGATTTCCAATATCACCTCGCTCCCCTTGTCCTGACCCAGGTGGACCACGCGCCATTCCTGGAGGCGTGCATTCGCGACTTGTGCGCATGCGATGGCGGCGACTGCGAGTGCTTCTGCACTGCGGTGGCTGCGTACGCCCAGGTCTGCAACGAGGCCGGCGTGTGCATCAGGTGGAGGACTCCCGACCGCTGCCCTGAGTGGAATGCATGTGACGGGGAGGGGGGGGGCGGTAGGTGGTCACGGTCACTCCACTCACCGACCTGCTCGTTTGTCCTCTATGCTCCTCAAACCCGGCCGCTTGGCCTCGAGCAATGAACGGTTTGCTCAGCCGCTCAGCGCATCTCCCGCGGCGCCGTTGTCCTGACACGATGGTTCGTGTGAGAGGGAGCGACTTCCCGGCAAATGCGGCCTGACCGACCGGGGGCTTTGGGTTGCCGAAGCGAGGATGATGATGATGATGATGGGGACGATGATGGCCACGATGACAGCGGCCATTTAGAAAAATCACCGCGTGTGTTTTCACAGGGGATTAGAACCCCTCTTAACGAGCACCTATGTTCACGACTAATCACTTAACGACGGGCCTCCATAGAGCCAAATGTGTAGTGTATAGTAGTGTTGTGTATAATGTAGTATATAGAAGTGTTGTGTATAGTGTAGTGTATAGTAGTTTAGTGGATAGCAGTGTAGTATATAGTAATGTAGTGTATAGTAGTGTAGTGTACACTGCTATACAGTGTCGTGTCTTTAAAAAATACTCACACCGACACGGAGTAATAAGTGCTTACACTTTATTTCTGCTGTCTCGCGCCAGTTGTAGACACTCCTATATCTCTTTTCTTTACGGTCACATACACTTGACTTATCCCTGCTCTTGTCTATTCTGCACCCCACCTATCTTGAACTCAGCAGCTCTGCTCTCAGCGGTTCCACACTCAGCGACTTCGCACTCAGAGACTCCACACTCAGAGACTCCGCACTCAGCGACTCCGCACACAGCGACTCTGCACACAGCAACTCTGCTCTCAGCGACTCCGCACACAGCGACTTCGCACTCAGACACTCTGCACACAGCGACTCCGCACTCAGCGACTCTGCACTCAGAGACTCCGCACTCAGCGACTCCACACTCAGAGACTCCGCACTCAGCGACTCCGCACTCAGAGACTCCGCACTCAGCGACTCCGCACTCAGCGACTCCGCACTCAGTGACTCTGCACACAGCGACTCTGCACTCAGCGACTCCATACTCAGAGACTCTGCACTCAGCGACTCCGCACACAACGACTCCACACTCAGAGACTCCACACACAGCCTCTTCACACTCAGCGACTCCACACTCAGAGACTCTGCACACAGCAACTCTGCACTCAGCGACTCTGCACACAGCAACTCTGCACACAGCGACTCCGCACTCAGCGACTCCACACTCAGAGACTCTGCACTCAGCGACTCCGCACTCAGAGACTCCGCATTCAGAGACTCCGCACTCAGAGACTCCGCACTCAGAGACTCCGCACTCAGAGACTCCGCACTCAGAGACTCTGCACTCAGAGACTCCGCATTCAGAGACTCCGCACTCAGAGACTCCGCATTCAGAGACTCCACACTCAGAGACTCCGCACTCAGCGACTCCGCACACAGCGACTCTGCACTCAGACACTCTGCACACAGCGACTCCGCACTCAACGACTCTGCACTCAGAGACTCCGCACTCAGCGACTCCACACTCAGAGACTCCGCACTCAGCGACTCCGCACTCAGAGACTCCGCACTCAGCGACTCCGCACTCAGCGACTCTGCACACAGCGACTCTGCACTCAGCGACTCCACACTCAGAGACTCTGCACTCAGCGACTCCGCACACAGCGACTCTGCACACAGCGACTCTGCACTCAGCGACTCCACACTCAGAGACTCTGCACTCAGCGACTCTGCACTCAGCGACTCCGCACACAGCGACTCTGCACTCAGCGACTCCGCACTCAGCGACTCCGCACTCAGCGACTCCGCACTCAGCGACTCTGCACACAGCGACTCTGCACTCAGCGACTCTGCACTCAGCGACTCCACACTCAGAGACTCCGCACTCAGAGACTCCACACACAGCGTCTTCACACTCAGCGACTCCACACTCAGAGACTCTGCACACAGCAACTCTGCACTCAGCGACTCTGCACACAGCAACTCTGCACACAGCGACTCCGCACTCAGCGACTCCACACTCAGAGACTCTGCACTCAGACACTTCGCACTCAGCGACTCCACACTCAGCGACTCCACACTCAGAGACTTCGCACTCAGAGACTCTGCACTCAGCGACTCCACACTCAGCGACTCCACACTCAGAGACTCCGCACTCAGACACTCTGCACACAGCGACTCTGCACACAGCGACTCCGCACACAGCGACTTCGCACTCAGAGACTTCGCACTCAGCTACTCCACACTCAGAGACTCTGCACACAGCGACTCCACACACAGAGACTTCGCACACAGAGACTCCGCACTCAGACACTCTGCACACAGCAACTCTGCTCTTAGCGACTCAGCACTTGCCCTAGAAGTCTGTTAAGGCGATACTGGGGGATCTTTGTCTTTTTGTACATGAAGTCTAGGTTTAGCCAAATGCACGGTAAACATTCGGAAGTAACTGCTTTCTGTTAACAATGAATATTAAAATTTGATACAGTTTATGTTCCATTAGTTTAATTATGGGCAGTGTTAGGGTAGATATTCGATCAAATGAAAGAATCATAAGAAGTGCAGAGCGTATGTACTGCGATACGACATGGGTAGTGATAAAAAACGGACAACAGCACGATACAACACTGAGTGGAAACCGTAGGGGAGGCACAACTATTTCCGGATGTGGGATTTCATCATGATTTTCAGGGAAAATGGTTCAGTTTCCAACATACAGAAAATTCGGATTGTGGATATTGCTCAGGAACCTAACCCTTCCTTAACCCGGGGACTTGCCTGTATTTACTATACTCGCTTAACGACCAAATCAATTAATGACCGGTTTTGTTGAACCAAATGCCGTCGTTAAGAGGGTGTCTACCGTATAGTCCACACCTCCGATTAGCACGATTGGCTACGTACGGTGGGAAAGAAGTTCAACAAACACACACACACATAGCCTGATGGTGTGTTTATCGGGTCGTTCCACGTTTTGCTCCGGACGATTTTCCCGACATTTTGCTTCGCGCGCTACGAGCTTCTCTAGCAGATGAAATTCCTGAAGAAGCCCCTAGCGCGCGGTGAGAAACGTTGGATGTCGTGCCGAGCTAGTGGTGCAACCCTTCAGGCATCGCGGAGATCGATGCCAATGATGAGTTTCTTATGATGTTACCTCTGTTAATCCCTCTCCCCTCCGCGCGACGCACCCCCCCCCCCCCACCTTCAGCCGTCTTCTGCGACTTCTACAACGAGGAATCGGAATGCACGTGGCACTGCAATCCATGCAGTTCCCTTCCCAGCACCTGCAGCCACCTCCAGAAACTGAACCAAGGTTCCCTGCCTCCCATCGAAGGTTTGTTTTTACTGCATCATCACCGTCAACTCATTAGCATCATAATAATCGTTCTTGTTGTCATCATTGTCATCGTCGTCATCGTCGTCATCATCGTCATCGTCAGTATCAACATCCTCTGAATGCATACGTTTGTCCACCTCCTCTGATCTGCTGACCCTGAGTGCAACCTTACAAAACGCTCCATTATTGTGATAGTTGTGGTAGCAGTGGTGGTGCCAGTACTGATGGCATTGGTTGCCAATGTTAATAGCGGTAGTGGTGGTGTTAGTGGTTGGCTGCGTTGGCTGGGTTATGTAGCCTGCATGCTAAGCCACCACATGCCTAAGGAGCATCTGTTTGGCCAGATATATGGGACTAAACGGGCATGGCACAGGCTAGAGAAGAGATGGACTCATGTGGAGCAGAAGGATGTGGAGCTGATTGGACTTACCGACAACTGGTACGAGCAGCGTCAGGTCACTGCTCCATGCTCGCCGATTACCAAAATCGAATCGACCCAAACGACCCAAACTGCTGCCCTTTGTGCCAAGCAACGCCAGAAGACGTCTCCCATTTTCTCAGTTGCCCAAAACGCGGACCAAAAATTAAATCGATTGATCTCTGGCTAAACCCTTCGAAAGTGGCGACACGACGCCACCTATAAACAGAAAGTGCGAGGAAAACAACAACAGCAGCAGCAGTGTCAAGATCGGCCCCTGTGGAGGCGCGAGAAGGACGCTCCTTGGGAGTTGGCGGCAGTCGTCCTCCAGCAATAAAGGAGGGCAGAGGAGCGACGCTCACAACAACAAGCAGCTAAAACGCAGAACAGTGGCGCAGTGGGAAGCACAGTTGGTGCATCTGCCACTCATCCCAGTCATTCAACCCGTGGCACCTTGGTCTGTTCCGTGACCTCCTGCCAGTGGGCCTTCGCCACTTCACGTGACCTCAAAGTGCACTTTGGGGCCATCCATAAATGACGTCGCGCGATTTTGGACGATTTTTTTTAACACCCCCCCACCTTAGTCACACGGCGTCACAAAAAGTCAGACCCCCCTCAAATATGACGTCACAAAGCTCTGCCCCCCCACCCCCCACAAAAATAAAACATGCTTCAAATCGCTTTAAACTATTGTCATTGTAGTGCGTATTTAATGTGATGCTGCACTCTGATGTTGTAGGAGAAAACATTGCTTAAAAAGTCTATTTAATTAAGTTGCGCATTTTGACGTGACGTCATATTTCTAACCCCCCCCCCCGTCACACATCGTCACAAATGTCTGACCCCCCCCCCAGGTGCGTGACGTCATTTATGGATGGCCCCTTAGCATGGCACAAGTGCCGTGGTGATGTAACTGCCACTAGTGGTGAATGGCGGTTGGTGTTAGTCTTAGTAGTGACGGTAGTCCTGGTGTTGGTGCGAGCTATGGGGCCGTCCATAAATGACGTCACGATGTGTGACGGGGGGGGGGGTTTGAGAAATGTGACGTCACATAAAAATGCGCAACTTTAAATAAATATAGAATTGTTATAACAACACTCCTACAACATCAGAATGCAGAACTTTGTAACGTCATATTTGAGGGGGGGGGGGTCTGACTTTTTGTGACGCCGTGTGACAAGGGGGTAGGGGGGTCAAAAATCGTCCAAAATCGCGTGACGTCATTTATGGATGGCCCCTTGGTCTTAGTAGTGACGGTAGTCCTGGTGTTGGTGCGAGCCGTAGGGATGACGATTCACCGCTATTCTTGCTGCAGGCTGCTACCCGCACTGCCCGCCAGACGCGCCATACTGCGTGCCAAAAGCCAACTGCAGCTGCTTTGTTGAGGATGACGTCATCCTGGCAGGGCAGCAGATCCACATCGTCAAGACTTGCCAAATCTGGTGAGATCCCTCTGCTTTCACCCACATTGACACCGCGTGCTCAAGGATCAACATCGCGTCCATTTGACATGTTTCGTCTGTCCCGAATGCACGGATGCTGCCGTGGTGCGATGGGTTAGCACGGTGGCTAGGAGATGTTGACTGCCTCGCCTGGTATGCAGGAGGTCGTGGGTTCGATCCCGACCCTGACGCTTTTATATTTGGAGTTTGCGTGTCTCTCTCCTCGTGGTCACGTTGATTTTTCCCCGGGGTCCTCCGGTTTTTCCCTCCACATTAAGGAACACGCATTTAGAGGATTTGGCTGATATATATTGACACGTGATAAGCCACTTCGTTGGGCTCTCACTTGTGGGCAAGGTGGCTTCTAAGAAAAAGAGCTGAATAGGTACAGTGAGCCTTACCTGGTAAAATAAGAAAAAATAATTATCATTGTTTATATTAGAATTAGTTCATTAAGCCTGTCTTTGCCAGACAAAAGTTTTCAATAAATATAAAAATGAACCTGATGTTTTTTTTTTACAATTTTTTATCTATGATCAGACACTAACACCTACTAAAAAAATTAGGTATTTTCCGCAAAAAAACACAAATGTGTTGACAACTTGATTCAACTTCTTATATTTAAAGACGTACCCATCAGAAATCGCTCAATTTAAAGATTACGTTCTTTTTTATTAGAAAGAACACAAAATTATGAACTTTATATTCTATGAGGGGAAGCTCCTATCTTTTACCGTTTTGGAATTATTCAGATTTGAACATCATAACATGTGTTATTTTTTCATTCAAAACCACTTGAATCCGAAATGTCTCAAAAACAATAAAAGATATAATTTTATTGCTGTTTAACGTTCTATCAAAAGAAAAAAACCCGCAATGTTATATTTTGAACGGTTTCTGCTGAATGACACGAACAAACATGTTTATTGAGTGCTTAAAATAGAGATTTGGGGGCCTTAAAATAAAAAAAATCTCGAATATTCAGATTGTTTCTCCTGCTATTTGTGTCATAAAAGTTACCTGGGTAGCACATTTCAGCTTCCTACCTTGTCGGAAAGTACACTAGAGCTTTTTGATACATACAGGTTAAATATCTTTATTTATGTAGATAGTTTATATTATGATAATTTACAGTCCTGTTACAACGTAGGTCACAAGGTAAATCCCCAATCGCGGCAATTGCAACACAAAAGATAAACTGAAAACATTCGGTCGGAACATTGCTTGCGTGATAATTTAAGCTGCATGCAGCAGCAGACGGCATGAGTATGCGCACTGGTGATTGAAAAGCCATCGGTTTGTGCGGAATTACTGAACCTCTTCCACTGGACACCGACGGCCATCCATGCGCTCTGCTTGAGTGCTCGTTCTCTCCAGTATCACATTCACTTTGAACATTATTTTACAAATACAACGGCATGTGCCTGTATAATTGCCCTTGTTGTGTGTCTTCTCTGTGTGACTGCAGCACATGCGACAATGCTGAGCTGCTTTGCGAAATACCAGGTACCCAAGGACAGCCATTCCTTCATGTCAGGGACAGGGGGGAACCTTTTCCTTAAGATGTCCTGTGACATGCCCAGGCACGATGGGAAGACCGAGGCTATGGTCACCTTTTGTTGTCTCAAAATCACCTTTTTGCGTACGTGTCATTAGCTGATATTATTGCGATCTCTTTCATAATACGTAGCCACCCTCGAATGAATTGCATAACCAGTGCGATTAAACCAACATTGGTGTACTGCTGCGGCGTAATGCTTGGCATACTGGGCTTGCAATCCAGAGGCTGCCAGTTTCATTCAATCTCCCAGCGCAGAAGTTGAAAATATGGTGAAGGTTTCTCAAACCCCCCCTCGCCTCTGTCCACCCAGCAGTGTGTTAGCAGTGGAATGAGCAATCAATTGCTCAAAAGCCAGTTATTACAACCCCCCCCCCCCGACCCCACAACGCTCACTAATATTTTATATCCAGATGGATGCTGTTACCACGAACAACTGTACGAGCTGGGCGCCTTCATATCAAGAGAATTAGACCCCGATCAGTACCGCGCGACCACCAAAACTTGCTCGCAACTCGGGGAGGTGGAAGACTCCTCCGTGGAGTGCGGGATAACTCCCATCGACGTGAACAACGCCACCACCACCACCACCGCCGTACCGCCGCTCCCAACCGAGCCACCCATCGTCGGCTCGAGCACAGCTGTGCCCGACGTGGCTCCGACGCAACCGCCCAAGGGGACGGACGACCACGGTGGGCGCTCCGGTTGAAGGTGCCACCGTGCAGCAGCCAACAGCGACGACGAGCGTGAGTCAAGTGCCCTGCTCAGGAAGCTGGTCTGAGTGGTACAGCGAACATTCTCCGGACGCCGACAACGATGGCGACGAGGAGTCGTACCAGAAGGTCACAGCCTCGGGGAAAGTTGTCTGCGCACCGGGATTCTTGGTGGAAAACATCGACTGCCGTGCGGACAAATACCCGAACACACCATGGGAGGAGTTGGGCCAGGCAATCACTTGTAACAAGGACGTGGGGTTGAAATGCTCACACACGGATCAGACCATGCCATTCTGCTACAACTACAAGGTCAGGTTTTGCTGCTCGCTGATTTCGCCAGCAACCACTGCTCCTCTGTCAACAGCACCGACATCCCCAGTGCCAGATGAAGGTAACTTATGCTTTGATGGTGGGTTTCAGGATGGAAATTTATTGGTGTAATTTCCCCCCCCCAGTTTATCCTGATTTTACTATTGGTGACACGTCAGAAGACGAATGGAACTCTGGCAGAGAAGTTCAGTCCTTCGTGTTTGAAAACAGCCCACAAAAACGGATATTATAAAGCGACCTCACAAATCCCTTGAAGCTATTTCTAAGGTCCACACACATATTACACACCTTAACCTCCGACTCGCTCTGCTAATGAGAGTGAGGTAATTTGCATGGTAGTCAACCTGACATTTTTTATCTCACAGCTGGAATTGAGCTAAATCAAGTGCGTCAATCATTGGTGACCAGACAGTCAATAAATTAATTGCACTTGAGGACCATATACATATCCACAGGCAGCTGCCTGGAATCGAACCCAGGTGAAGAGAGGTACCAACTCAACGCTGTGACCTCTGTGCCATCACTCCTGGGGCGGAGGGATTAAGTCGTATAAAGAAAAAACATGGAGAATGCAAAATTGTCTATTCTTGTTTCTTAAAGTAATTGGTTTGCTTGCTTAAATGTTTGCGATTATGTGAGCACCAAGTCACAAACCCTGAACGCTGGTTTTAATCTACTATGTTAATGAAGACGTTTATCTGTATGTGTCTGTGTGTATCTGTCTGTATCTGTGTGTATCTGTCTGTATCTGTGTGTATCTGTGTGTGTCTGTGTGTGGCTGTGTGTGTATCTATGTGTATCTGTCTGTATCTGTGTGTATCTGTGTGTGTCTGTGTGTGTATCTGTGTGTATCTGTATCTGTATGTATCTGTGTATGTATCTGTGTGTAATTGTGTGTAACTGTGTGTATCTGTGTGTATCTGTGTGTCTGTGTATGTATATCTGTGTGTCTGTATGTATCTGTGTGTATCTGTGTGTATCTGCGTGTATCTGCGTGTCTGCGTGTTTGTGTGTGTCTGTGTGTGTCTGTGTGTATCTGTGTGTGTCTGTGTGTATCTTGTGTGTATCTGTATGTATCTACATATCAAAATCTCGAGGGTACTTCCCGACAAGGTACAAAGCTGACATTTGATACATTAGTAGCTTTTAGTACGCAGAAAACAGAAAAACAATCAGAAAAATCGACATTTTTCATTTTAAGGCCCCTAAATGTCGATTTTTATTACCCCATAATTGTTTGTGTGCTTGTCATTCAGAAACCGTTCAAAATATAAGACTGCGGCTTTTTCCTTTGATAGAGCATTAAACAGCACTTAAATTTAAGCGAGAATCATTGAGATATTTCAGATTACAGTAATTTGAACAAAAAAATACGCATTTTAATACGTTCAAATCTGAATAATTCGAAAACGTTAAAGGATACGAGAGCTTCCCCTCATGAAGTATTAGGTGAATTATTTTTTGTTCCTCACGATAAAAAAACCGGAATCTTTACATTGAGTAGTTTCCGATGGCTGCGTCTTTAAATATAAGGAGTTTAATCAGGTCATCAACATTTATTTTTCGTAGCAAAATACCAAATGTTTGGAAGAGTTGTTAGTGGTCTGATCATAGATAACAAATACATTTTTTTATCAGGTGAATTATTATTTTTATTGAAATGTTTTGCCTGCCGAAGACAGGTTTTATGAACTAGCTCGTTATAAAATAATTTATTAATGAAAATAAGCCTGTGCATAAAAGGTGCAATGAAGCGTTGCTAATCTGTAAATATGATCATCGGCCGACATTCACTTAAGAATCAATTGTAAATGGTATTTAAAACATTTTTATTTCCGCTTGTTCACCCAGGATAGCTTCACTAAGTTTCACGACTCATTTTCAGGAGGGTCACGCCAAGGTTTTTGCAGTGGGGCGGGGGGGGGCGCTAATTGCTTTGTGTATTCCAGCTGAGAAATATGTGTAGCTGTGTCAACAGTTTTAATTTACATAGATCACATGGCATGTTTCTGCAGAAATCATCATTCCACCAGTTGAAGCCACAAGACCACCTGGGCCAACCACAAAAAATGGTAAATACCCATACAAGTCGGCAACATTATTACAGTTTTCAAGGTGCAACTTAAGTATTGATAAACTACAAATAGTTTGAAAGTGAATACAATATTGGAGTGTGTATTGGGATGTGTGTTCTTTAGTCCTCTGCCCAATGATGATGGGTCTTCGGCTCCAACTCGCTCCCCCCATCCTCCTCTGATCCAAAGGTTCCTTCATTTCACCATATGGCCCATCATCCTCTAAACGTCAAGGATCTGTTTTTGATTACTCTTTGGTTCTTTCGGTAAAGTCACGTAGAAAGAAAATCAATAAAAAAAATTCCACGCAACTTTCTCTAAAATATACCAGTCTTGTTGGGTCTTTCATTGACATGCTAATTTCTCGGCTCCAGCAGCTGCTCCAGCAGACCAACCTCTATCTCTCACCCAACCCCTCTCTCTGTATTTAAGGCCTTGACACAGAGGCATTGGGTCTCTGTGTCTATGTCAGGGGTGGGCACATTTTTTCACTCGCAGGCCACAATGGGTTCTAAAATTTGACAGAGGGGCCAGGCCAGGAACAGATGGATGGAGTGTTTGTGTGAACTAGTATAAATGACATGTAAAAATCATTACATGAAAGGATTTGGCCTTTAACAGGTAGCAAAGCATTTATTTGCAAGGCAATTTAATAAATTGCACGAACATGAACAATACAAAAACATATCGTAACTCCCGGTCAAAGTGCCCCATCTAATGTGGAAATGAGGGCATTACAGGAGAAAGGTAAAATTTAATTTAATAAGAATATTTGGACAAGTTCGGCGGGCCGGATTAAAAAGCCCAACGGGCCGTATACGGCCCGGGGGCCGTACTTTGGCCATGTCTGGTCTATGTTGTGTGTCTGTCTGTGTGTCTTCGTGTGTGTGTTTTGTCTCTCTCTCAAATTTAGTTCTACCTGATGACGACTGCTTGTGTTGCAATTGAAACGTCGTATTCTATTATTTAATTTATTTTCTTTGAACGTTACTTTACCGAAAGAACCAAAGAGTCATTCCTGCAGTTTCGATCTCCTTTTCAATTTCGTTCTAAAACTACGCTTTCAGTTCTGACAAAGTGCCTAATCCACATCGTTTACTTAACAGACTCTATTGGCATTTTACGACAATTCTCCATGTCCACATCGTAAAACTTTCCAGTGTGTTTAAGTTTGTGTTTTTAAGTCTTTCCTTCTCAGAATCCTAGTTTCTGAAGAAGCTTAGCAAGTTGAATAAACCGGGTGCTCAGTCTGGTTCTGAACTTGTGGTTACTCACATTAGAACATTACCTAAGTAATATCTTTCAACACTCACGAATTCACTCCAGCTGCTCCTTGTCACTCTTCTATCACCACTATCATGGCTACTGTTCCTGTGAACTTCACTCAATGATTCATTCACCTATGTCAAGGACCTGATCTACCTGTCTGATTTTTCGTCTCGTAAATTTCGGTGTTAAGCTAACAGATAGTTATAGACACTACTTCTTCCCTCACAATGCTCCACTTAGGATTTCCATATTACAATCTCTGTCCCAAGATATTATACCCTTTTTAAATTCGAAAACTATTAATTATTTAATACCGCTGTGTTGAAAGCCGCTTGGAATTTGCGGTCCAGAGATCTGTGCTTAGCAAGCATGATGCATAAACTTATATAACCAAATCCATGATGCAGATTGAAAGTATCGTCTAAAACGTGACTTACAACATTTACAAAGTGCAAATGAAAATGCATGAGTAATCTGAATTCTGTTAACATCCATCTCTTGCCTTTTCTTTCAAAGTGACACCGAAACCCCTGGTTGAGGAAAAGCCAACAAAACCAGCTCCAGAAGAGAGTGGTGCTCCTCCTCAAGAACCAACTGGACCGAAGGACAAGACACCCCCACCTCCAACCTCCGGCAGCAAGGAGCCAGAACTCACCCTCAGGAGGGCCAGGTGTGTTAATTTTGTAAGATTATACATATATACAGGAAGTATACTGCTTAGGATCAAATCACACAATGTGACTTAATTTGTTAGATCTCAACTATTTAGACTTGCGCCTGCATGAGATTTGGATGGGGGACAACCTGTGTAACAGATGCCATCAGCTGCATATTTATTACGTGGACTATAGAGGGCAGAATGCCACATCTCTTTATTGTGCTGTACGTCCATGCTCCCTCATCCCACGTTCACTAAACCGCCATGAAGAGCATGATGAAGGATGGTCACGCAACCCCCCCAACCCAGACACCGTTGGGGGGCTTTAATTTAGCAGTGTATTTGGCAAAGAGCTGTACATTATTTAGAATCATTTTCCAGTAACTTATTCGAAATTCAGATTAATGTATTGTCTGAAGGTTGCTTACAACATTTTACAAGGTTAAACTCAGAATGCTTGAGAAATCTGCATTCCCTTAACATCCATCCCTGGATTTTTCATTCAAAGTGACACCAAAATCCCCGGTAGAGGAAAAGCCAACAAAGCCAGCTCCAGAAGAGAGTGGCGCTCCACCTCAAGAACCAACTGCACCGAAGGACAAGACACCCCCACCTCCAACCTCCGGCAACAAGGAGCCAGAACCTTCACCCTCAGGAGGGCCAGGTGTGTTCATTTTGTTAGATTATATAGATGTAGTGGAGTAAACAATACGCATAGGAATTGGCCACATACAGTACATACAGACAGACATGGAGGACGGGTCACATGAGGTCGAACAGGTGGTCAAGTCAAGGGTGGCGTAAACAACCCGAAGTAATTAAGGGAGTCGTGGCACGAGGGCTGTGATTGGTCGAGAGGCTGTTAGTGTTAAGTGGTGGCGTCTGGATGTCTGACAGAGGGGACAGGTGCGAGCTGGCGGAAAACGGCCAGCGAGCCACGTGGCAATTAATTAAGGCTAATGCGAAAGGGGATAAAACGCGAGGTGATTTGAACGGAGAAGAGTTGTTGCTGGGGAGTTGCTGCTGGAGAGTTGTTGCTGGGCAGTTGATGGCGAGAGGTGAAGAGATACGAAGAAGACAGCTGGCAATGTTAGGGAAGAATAGATAGAGAGCCGAACCCCAAAGACAGTAAATAGCGATAGGGAGAGTTAGCGTTAGCGGAGATAGATAGAGTCACTGTGTGTGAATGGATAGATGGAGTCACTGTGTGTGAATAGATAGATGGAGTCACTGTGTGTGAATAGACAGATATGATACTGTGTGAATAGATAGAAGAAGAACCACTGTGTGTGGAAGGGACGTCCCTGCGTGTGAAGAGATAACGGCGATACTGTGTGTGAGGAGATAGAAGACGAACCACTGTGTGTGGAAGGGAAGACACTGTGTGTGGAGAGATAGAGGAAGAACACTGTGTGTGGAAGGGGATGCACGGACAATGCTGAAGTAAATCGGAGTGTCCGAGTTGGCGGAGCACGGAGAGAATTACTGTGTGTACGGAACGATGGAATAAAAGTGACAGCGGAAAAAGAGACGGTTGTCGTCCGAGTGAATTCACGGCACTACATTTGGTGTCAGAAAAAGTACGGAACACGCCACGATGTCAAGGAAAGCGGCAAAGAAAAGAAATGTGCCAGTGGACTCGGGCGGCGACAGCGACAATGACGATTTGCAACCCGGCCAGATGGCCAGCAGTACTCCGGACGGTGACAGCGGTTCGGGTGGTGCTGAAGGCCCGGGATCGCCAGAGGATTGGCGAGTCCTCATGACCCAGTGGGAGGCCAGGATGGAGAAGTTGTCAGAGGAATTCCAGAACTTCTTGACGGAGAACCGCATTCAACTACCCGTACCGGGTCCACCGCCGGAGGTTGCCACTCAGCCAGAGCAGTTGGAAGATTCTGACGACGAAGACGACCAGTTGGAGGGACCGCCACGACGGCTACACGTACAACGATTTGAGGCCAAAGTGGGAGATTGGACGGCATTCATACGAAGATTCCGTGCGGCTTACGAGTCCCTGAATTGGACGGAGAGTGCCGCGTTACGAGCGCTGCCGACGGCATTGGATGATGACTCCTTGGCGACTTTTAATGGATTCCCTGCCGCTGTCAGAAAAACATTGGACGGTGCTATTGCGGCAATGAGGAAGGTCTACGAGCCGCGGTCGGTCGCCAAACGTCGATTTCAACAGAGGAAACGGGAGGCCACGGAGTCCCCCCTGGCATTTCGCAGCGCTTTGCTGGCCCTCGCCCAGGTTGCGTACCCGGCGATGGACGAGGAGGGCTGGGACTCCCTGCTGCAAGAGAAGATGTTACAGCTGGCAAAGGAACTGAAAGTCGTCTTGTCGCTCCCGGACAAGGATGATGACGACGACGTGTCATCGTTGCTGATCGCCAGGAACATACAAGTCAACCTTGATATACGAGACGAACCAGCGGCGGCGGTAGCACAGCCGTCGCTGAAGACCCCTGCTGGGGCTGCGAGCACGGTGGCGGTGGTGGTGGACGAGACGCCGCTGATGGCAGCGGCGGCCAGGGTGTCGACCGGAGAACGACGGCGTCGTCCCGGGGCATATGGAGACGGCGTGCATCGGACATGCTACGAGTGCGGGCGGAAGGGTCATCTCGCCCGCGACTGCTGGAGATGAAGAGGTGGTCCTCTGTGGGCGCCGAACAACTCCAGCGGGCGGTTCGTCCAAGACCAAGGATCCCGGGTGAGTCGAGATGCATTCAATACACGGCCGCCCTATCCACATCACTCATCCGCGTCATCTCAGCCGTATTCATCGGGTTCAGATAGTACGCATGGCCGGGATATGTGGGGCGCGTTGGTACTTCGTGTGTTGGGGGCCGCGCTGGGATTGTCGGATGTGATGGCATGTATTCAAGGTGTTATGGTACGGGTTATTGTGGATACCGGGGCGTCGGCAACTCTCATTTCGTTGCAAACTTTTCGGTCGCTGCCGACGTCGCCTGGATCGTTAGCGCCAGTGGAAGGGCCATGTGTAGCGGCAAACGGGGGTAGTTTGGGCATTATGGGCTGCGTGGTTGAAGCTGAACCCCGAGCCGTACGTCCGACGCGTCGCCGTAGTCCCAGGCCGAAATCCGCGGATGTCGCCGCACCGGGGGGGGTGGCCGTCGCGGCCGACGCGACCAACTGGGCCGCGACGTCCCTTGGGCCTTGCAACGGCTAGAGCCCAGGGCGCAAGCACACCCGCCGCCTGTCGGCAATCTGGACAAGCCATCCGCATTTCCATGCAGTGCCCCCTTTCTGTGGATTACGTCAAAGGCGTAATCCTGGAGCACCTCGACCCAGCGGGACAGCTGACCCGAGGGCTAACCAATCCTCAGCGAATATTGCAGGGCCGCGTGGTCGGTTCGGACTGTAAACCGCTTACCGTACAAGTAGGGCCTATACAATTGAACAAAAAAAACTATGGCCAAAAGCTCCCTCCGAGACACGCAGTATCGCTGTTCCGTCGGGGACAGAACCCGACTGCCGTAGGCTACCACCCTCTCCACCCCGTCGACCACCTGGGCCAGGACTGCCCCAATGCCCATGTCGCTGGCATCGGTGTCAAGCAGAAAGGGCTTCGATAAATCGGGGTACCCCAAGGGCGGCGCATCCGCCAAGGCTGTGCGAAGCGTCGCAAAAGCAGCCTCCTCCTACGCGCCCCAGTAAAACCTTTGGCCTTTGGCGGAGAGGGCGTGCAGCGGCTTCGCAATCGTCGCAAAATCGCGGACAAACCGGCGATAGTACGATGCGAAGCCGACGAAGCTACGCACCTCCGCGACAGATGTGGGAGTCGGCCACGTCCGGACACAAGCCGTTTTCTCTGGGTCCGTGGCGACACCTGACGCACTAACAATGTGTCCCAAATATTTCACCGATGGTTGTAGCAAATGGCATTTCTGGGGTTTAAATTTCAAGCCCGCAGCACGCACTTTGACGAACACAGCCTCGAGGCGTTGCAAGTGCTTGTCAAACGTACGCCCAAAACAATAACGTCGTCCAAGTAGATTAAACAAGACTCCCACTGCAGCCCCGCCAAAACCATCTCCATGAGACGCTGGAAGGTGGCTGGGGCTGAATGAAGACCCATAGGAAGCCGATTGAACTCGAACAGCCCCTGGGGCGTGCGGAACGCTGTCTTGGGTCTAGAGGCTTCGTCCAGCGGCAATTGCCAGAAGCCGGAGAGCAAATCTAGAGTCAAAAAGAACCGCGTGCCCAAGAGGGCGTCCAGGGAATCATCCATGCGAGGCAAAGGATATGCGTCAGCCACCGAGATCTTGTTCAATTTACGGAAATCGACGCAGAACCGGAGACTCCCGTCCCGTTTCTTGACTAGCACAATGGGGGCACCCCAAGGACTAGTGGAAGGGGAGACGATGTCCGCCGCCAACATTTCGTCGACAGCCGGGCGGACATGCTCCTTTTCCGCAGGGCTAAAGCGGTGGGAATTAAGCCGAATAGGGGCTGAGTCGCCCGTATCTATGTGGTGTTCCAAAAGTGTAGTGCGACCCAGGTCAAACTTACTTTGGCTAAACACATCGGTGAACCTCTCGATGAGTTCGCGGAGTTGCTGACGCTCCCCAGTGGACAACGAGGCATTCTCGTCGCACAACGTGGCGATCCATGATGCGTCGGAGTCCTCTGCGCGCATCACGCCCGCCACGACTCCTCCATCTGGGGCAACGCTCTTGGGTGGGGGAGCCGGGGTCGTGTACGCCAGGACGGCACCGGCCGGGATTACGATCGGCATGGGCCCCGCGCGGTGCGGCGATGTATGGAAGCCCCCCGACTCCCGCGGGCCACCCTGCAACCACGGCGTGGTGCGGCAGCGTTGCGGCCCCCATAGGCCACGCCGAAGACGCGGCAAGGTGCGGTGGCGCTGCGGCCCCCGTAGGCCACGCCGGAGACGTGGTGGGTGGCGGCAGAGTCGCGGCCCCCATAGGCCACGCCGGAGACGTGGTGGGTGGCGGCAGAGTTGCGGCCCCCATAGGCCACGCCGGAGGCGCGGTGGGCGGCGGCAGAGTTGTGGCCCCCATAGGCCACGCCGAAGACGTGGCAAGGTGCGGTAGCGCTGCGGCCCCCGTAGGCCACGCCGGAGGCGCGGTGGGTGGCGGCAGAGTTGCGGCCCCCATAGGCCACGCCGAAGACGTGGCAAGGTGCGGTGGCGCTGCGGCCCCCGTAGGCCACGCCGGAGATGCGGTGGGTGGCGGCAGAGTTGCGGCCCCCATAGGCCACGCCGAAGACGTGGCAAGATGCGGTGGCGCTGCGGCCCCCGTAGGCCACGCCGGAGACGCGGCAGTATAACACGGCCCTGCGGTGGCCCCTGCGGGCCACCCCGCAGGCGCGGCAACGGATCGATCTGCAACCGCAGCCACAGCAACCTCCCGCGATGCGGCGAGGGGCGGCGGCGGCGTTGCGGCCTCCCCGGGCCACGCCGTAGACGCGGCTAGGTGTGGAGGCGCCACAGCACCCGCAACCCACCTGTCCGCGTCGCCGTACGGAGCCGCGGTGCCGGCGTGCGTGCCTGCGGCGGCCTCCGCATCCGCGGCATCCTCCCGTGATGCGGCGTGGTGCGGCAGCGTTGCGGCCCCCGTGGGCTACGCCGGAGACGCGGCGAGGTGCGGAGGTGCAGCAGCGGCCGCCGCCAACCCCGCCGGTGCGGCGGGATGCGGAGGCGCACTAGCGCCCGTGACCCACCTTCAAGGCGCGACGAGGTGCGGGCCCGCGGCATCGCCAACGGCCAGCCCCGCGGCCC